CCCTCCTTTGAACCAGTTTCCCCAGGTCTGGCCTCTTGCTCTTGAAGTTGATCTATCAGCTCATCAGTGGTTAGTTCTTCATTGTCCTCCTCCACCAACTCTTCCACATCCTCCCCACTAACCTCCAACCCCCAAGACTTCCCAAATTTCCACAATTTATTCCCTCAACTGGTATACTACTCCTCTCAGGGTTACCCTCAAACCCTTCAAAATCCCTTTTGTCTACACATTCTGGCCCCAGTTTCTTCCAAGCAGAGTTCAAGGTTCTCTTAGTCACTCCCTCCCCAAAACCTTACCTATAAGGTTTACACAACTGAGGATATTAAAGGATCCTTCAAAACTCTTTTAGGTCAATCCCGTGTCTGTGGTCACTTCAAAGCACTTTTGAAAAAGAGCTTTTGTGTACAGTTTTCTGAAGTTGGAAATGACCTGCTGGTCCATGGGCTGCAGGAGATGAGTGGTATTAGGAGGCAAAAACTTCACCTTAATGAAGCTCATGTCCCCATAAAGTCGCTCTGCCAGTCTGTAGGATGACCAGGGGCATTGTTTAACACCAGGAGGCAAATTAAGGTCTAATTTCTTTTCAGTTAGGTAATCTTTCACATTGGGGGCAAATGCATGGTGTAACCAGTTATAGAAAAATTCCCTAGTGACCCATGCCTTACTGTTTGCCCTCCCCAGCACCAACAAATTATCCTTGAGGACATTCTTTTCTGAACGCTTGGGGGGTTCGAGTGATAATATAAAGGGGTTAAAATTTGCACACCACTGCATTGGCAACATCAAAAAGTAAGCCTGTCTTTCATAGGCTTATGCTGGGAGTGCTTTTCTCCTTGGAGTAATGTAGGTCTGCTTGGCATTTTTCAGAACAGGCTGTTTCATCACATTAACACTTGTTTCAGGTTCCCGTCTTCGTTTCTAGTATCCTTGATTCATGCACTTTTTTTTTCAGCGCTTTGTGGTCGAACTGGCAGCCTCACATGCCGTATCACACTAAAGGATGCATACGCTTCTTAAATCTCTTCCAAACCAACTTTGCTGGCCTTAAATTCACTCACATCACATAGTTGCAGGCATTTTTTTAATTAAATTGTCATGCAACTTCCTAGGGCCTTTTTAAAATATGATCGCTTGAGAGACGCTATCTCCTGTAGCTGTTTTTCATTTTCCACACCAATAACAGCTCTCACATTCCATCACTTGCGATCTTTGTTTCGAAAACCAGTTAAAACCTTTTGGCAAACAACAGTTCCTTGATTGCCGTTTTCTTGCCCACAATAGAAGCGGGTGGTTGTATTTTGGTTTCTTGTACAACCGACAGGTCGGTGAACGTACTCCACTTTCATACTTATCAATGATCTCTTTCTTAATTTTAATGGGTATTCTTACCCTTTGAGGTGTAGGTTGGCACTAGAAGCTTTCTTGGGGCCCATGGTCACTTATTTTCCACAAACAGCACCGAAAACACTGTAATAATACGAAATATTCCGAGTGTATGCTTGAATGTTACCGCGGAGGCTAGCTGGTAAACAATGGGACGGGCGGCACATGTGAGGCTGGCTGAGGGCCCACATTGGACGCGTCTCGGACGAAGGTCGCTGAGCGGGTTTTTGTCCACTATGCGGGGCAAAATTTTAGCGAACAAAGCGTTCGCTATGCGGATTGTTCGCTATGCAAGGCGTTCGCTATGCGGGGGTCCACTGTATAAATAATTTTCTAAAAAAAAGCCCAATGCCTCTACAACAGACATTGCCCCAGAAAAACTAAACAGATCACAGCAAAGAGACTGAATAATCCCTGGCTAACACCAAGCATCCTCAAATCCATTAACACAAAGCACAAATATGAAAAACAGTATAGAATGGGTCAAATAACTAGAGAACAGTCGAGAAATTACTCGTCAGCACTTACCAGTCTGATAAGGTCAAAAAAATTGTATTATGAAAATAGATTACATAACATCAAAGGTGATATGAAAAAAACCTGGAAAACTCTATCTGAAATTCTTGGAACTAAAAAGTTATCCAAAAACAAAGCAATCAAACTAACAAAATCAGATGAACCTCTACTCACTCCAACTGAAACAGCAAACAGATTTAATGTTTTCTTCTCCACCATAGGAAAAAATCTAGCAAACAAAATACCAAGCACAAATGCCCGTCCATCAAACTAACTCATAGGAACCTACCCAAATATGCTATTCCTAGCTCCAACCAACCCCACTGAAGTTATGCTCATCATAAACACCCTTAAAAACAAGGCAGGAGACATAAACAACTTGCCTGCTTTTATGTACAAAAAAGCTTCTCAAGTATTGTCACCAATTATTGCAACGCTCTTTAACAAATCCATTGAATCATCTACCTTCCCAACAATCCTCAAAATAGCGAGGGTCACTCCGATCCATAAAGGAGGTGACCAAGCTGACTTGAATATCTAACTTACCACTGCTCTCTAAAATCTTTGAAAAATTAAGTCATAGACAGATCTATTCCTACCTCGTTTCACACAACATATTAAACCCTTGTCAGTTTGGATTCAGAAATAATAAAAGCACAAATGATGCTATCATACACATGCTAGAACTAATATATACCGCACTTGAAAAGAAAGAAGTCCCGCTGGGCATTTTCACTGATTTACGTAAAGCTTTCGATACAGTCGACCATGAACTACTGTACTCCAAATTAATGCACTATGGTATCAGAGGCCACTCCCTCAACTACCTAAAGTCATACCTTAGTAACAGAACTCAATATGTGTATGCAAATGATGCAAACTCCTCCACCCAACTGATCACAGTAGGAGTCCCACAAGGAAGCGTCCTTGGACCACTCCTCTTTCTCATCTACATCAATGATCTACTGAATGCATCACAGCTACTCAAACCCATATTATTTGCAGATGACACAACATATGTATTTTCCCACTCAAATGCAGTCATACTAGCAAACACAGTCAATGCTGAATTACAGAAAATATCTGCCTGGATGATGACTAACAAACTTACCCTGAACACTGATAAAACCTATTTCATTCAGTTTGGAAACAAAGTTGCAAATGATCCAATTAACATTACGCTAAATAGATCATCAGTCACAAGACTCACAGAGAGAAAATTCCTAGGTATCCACCTTGACAGTAGCCTTAAGTTCTGGACACACATACAACAAATCACCAAGAACTGTAGGCATACTATCAAAGATAAGGTACTACGTTCCACAATCAGCTCTCCTGGCACTGCACCATTCGCTCACATACCCTTATCTTACATATGGAATTTGTGCATGGGGATCAACAACATCCAATCACCTAAAACCCCTAATAACCCAGCAAAAGGCAGCAGTAAGAATGATAAATTCCCACTCCCGCCAGCATACTCCACCAATTTTCAAAAGTCTGAATCTGCTTACCATTAAGAACATCCATACTTATTCATGTGCTTACTACATACACAGAACAATACACGCAAATAAAACCCCCCCACTCAAACTTCTCCTCACCAACCTAAACAGGACACATGACCACAACACAAGACACAGATCTCTTTTTGATATACCTCGTGTCCATATCACACTGTGTAAAAACTCTATGCACATAAAGGGCCCCAAAATATGGAATTCATTACCAGAAGATATTCAAGTAACCCAGTCTGAAAATCAATTTAAGACTCTTCTCAAAAGCCACTTATTCACCGTAGACTAAATGCTAAATACTCAGTATACATTTACTCACCTATGTACTCCCACATCATTACTGAAACAATCACATTGAACCTTTTATCCATTGTTGACAGGAATATAATTGAATCATTGTTTTTCACAAAAGCATTTTAGATAAAGATGTACGTATATCTTTGTATTATACAAATTTTGATTCATTTATAATTAATATTCTACTGTACAACTATGAAATAATTACTTTCCTACTGTACAACTATGATATACTACTCCTTAGTATTAAGTAGTCTGTAAGCCAATAATGTTAAGTTGGCCCATAATGCCTAGGCATAATAGAGGCTCTCTTTGCATTGCAACCCACTATTGTATATACACAATCTCAATGTACTGTTTGCAAAGACATTAAATAAATAAATAAATTAACAAAGAAACAAAGATATTAGAAGAGATAACCTGTAGCCGTAATGAAGTGTTACTTTGTACACAGAAAAAGAGGTGTACGTGAGTTTGTGTGACTGATTTACTGAATGACTTGACTGACTTACTGAATGACTTGACTGACTTACTGAATGACTTGACTGACTTACTGAGTGACTTGACTGCAATATTATTATTATTATTATTATCATTATTATTAATTTAGGGAACTGAAGCTCTATCTTTGTTATTATTAATTATTATTATTATTAATTTAGGGAACTGGAGCACAGGTCCAAATCCCTAGATCAAGAGCCCCTCACCAGCATCATGGAACCTTGATGCTGGTGAGGGGCTCTTGATCTAGGGAATTGGACCTTTGCTCTAGTTACTTAACCCTTAAACTGTCCAAATGTAGATATACGTTGACGTGCGGCAGGCTCTGAACATAGATCTATGTTTCTTTTACATGCTTTCAAATGGGGAAAATCAAGGTCGGAGCGCTACGCACGTGAACGTAGATCTATGTTTGGACAAGTTATAAGGGTTTAAAATAATAAATTAACTAATAATAGGTAGTAGGTTGGTAGACAGAAAACCGCCAGGGAGGTACTACCGTCCTGCCAAGTGAGTGTAAAACGTAAGCCTGTAATTGTTTTACATGATGGTAGGATTGCTGGTGTTTTTTCTGTCTCATAAACATGCAAGGTTTCAGGTACGTCTTGCTACTTAGCTTACACTTAGGTCACACTTACATACATGTATAAGATATTTTATACACACCCCTCTGGTTTTCTTCTATTTTCTTACTAGCTCTTGTTCTGTTTATTTCCTTATCTCCATGGGGAAGTGGAACGGGAATTCTTCCTCCGTAAGCTTGCTGTTGTAAGAGCGACTAAATGCCAGGAGCAAGGGGCTAGTAACCCCTCTCACTGTATATATTACTAAATGTGAAAGGAGAAACTTTTGTTTTTCCTTTTGGGCCACCCCGCCTCGGTGGGATACGGCTGGTGTGTTGAAAGAAAGAATAATAATAACTAATAATAATAATATTATTATTATTATTTTTATTATAATAAAGAATGCCGCCAACTCAGTACACTGTTTACCTTGCTGTGGGAGCAGTTCTCTCCTGCTTTGCTTACATTTTTAACAGTCATTTGGCCAAATTTCATTTTTCTAAGCATGAGTCCTAAGAAAGTAAGTGTAAAGGACAGTGCTGAGAAGAAAAAGAGCATGACTTCCATGGAATTAAAGTATGAAATCATTGATAAACAAGCAAGGTGTCCAGGTTTTGGGTTGAGGGGGAAGAGGGGGAGGGGGAGGGGGAGGGGGAGGGGGAGCTGGCTCGTAACTCCAATGTTGGCTCGTAACTCAGAGCAAAAAATCGACCCAAGGATGGCTCGTATCTCAAAAAACTCGTACGTTGGGACACTCCTAAGTCAAGGTTCCACTGTAATGGTATTCTGCCACTGAGATATTGCAATTCCCAAGACTTGAAATCCTTGATCAAAATAATTATTAATTTTATGCATAACCTCAGACATCATGAATTTTTATTGTCTCTTTTTTGTCACTGCACATCAACCTTGCTATCCAAAATTATTTTTAGTCATTCTGGAAGTCATAAAAAGGCAAATCAAGAAGTGACAATGATAGGAAAATAAGTGACACTTAGCTAGCTCCAAAATAACAGAAAAATACTGAATGTGTAACAATCGTAGAAATGTATAAGACTGATAGTAACAGTGATTCAACAAGATTGAGAAGTTGTGAAAAAATCTGTGAAGATTCTCTGAGCATACTTATGTTTACTAGTATAGTGGGATGTGGGCAATCTTTGACCATTTGTACATTCAAAACGAATATGGAAGTTTTAGGACTTTGTGTGTATAAATTGGTAGTAACATAAGAAAATTATTACAACAGTACAGTATGATATTTACAGCTCAATGAAACAGAGAAGTTGCTAAGTGGACAAGGCATAAGAATTTTTTAAATATTGTGCATATATTAACAGGTGTGGTCTTTCATGTACAGCAAAGCACTGGTTTCTCAGTCACCAGCATGGAATGGAGGGTCACATTAGCTTACTTAATTTGGCTGCCCGAAGAGTGGTAAGCTCTTTATTACAAGATTATTCTGTTCAGGTGTTAGCTTACACACATTTGGACCCTATCATTTCTAGGTATTATAGGGTTCATATTGTATACATTATACTGTATCGAGTTACCTGTTGGTTCAACGAGTACTTTTCACAAAGCCTCACAAGGATCTACTGCAAATTTCAAACATGCTTACCATATTTTTATTTCAGCACAGTATTAACTATTGCATTTGGAACTTTCTAAGCATCTTTTTTGAAGTTATATTCTCTACACTTCTCCATTCACTTACTGGTACTTTTACCAAACGTGTGACAGTTATAATTTGGTGATGCAGTATTCACCTGAATTTCTTGCTATTTCAGTGTAGTACTTAAGTCTTACAAATTTTACACAAATTCTCATGGTCTCTAAGTCTTAAAACTGTCAAAACTACCTAAATATTGACTATTCTCTGTGACGTATACGTATGAATATAGCAACCTTGAAAAAATCCCTCAAAACAAAATATTGGAAACCGTATTACCTTTTAGCCTAAAAAGAAGCACTAGTTTTACTCTGCAGGGCTAAACCCATATAAGGCAGCAACCCTTGTGAGAAGCTCAGCCACAACCTGACGGAGATGTGGGTCATGTGCATGAGCTGTTAAGGAGCGCATTGTTGGAAATAAGAGTGGCAGCAGTGGTCGTAATTCAGAGTCACACAGTTGGCTGATGAGATCAAATACTGTCACCACCATTTCTGTCCACACCTTGAGGTGAGCTTCACTGTCCTGTTGGCAAGACAAGTACAGTAATTGCAATTGTATAGTGTAATGATGTAGACACTGCATATATAAATAAAGAACAGGTTTGTGTGAGTATGCTAGGAGTGGAGGCAAGTAGTTTTTATGCTTTGAGGTGCTGTTGGAGTGCAAGCAAGGTAACGTTTATGAAGGGATTTAGGGAAACCAGTTAGCTAGACTTGAGTCTTGGTGGTGGGAAGTACAGTGCCTTCACTCTGAAGGAAGGGTGGTGGTGCTGTGGTTTGAAGGATCATCTGAATAATGACATTCGTGCCCTTCTGGCAAGACAGTGATTGAGTGACAATGTAAATGCTGTTTTCTTACTCGGGTCACCCTACCTTGGTGGGAGATGATTGGAGTGTCCTTTGTCACTAGTAAAATCTCGTTAGAGAAGCAACTTCATGACAAGAGCTCTATATCTGATCTTAAGGATTGCACTCATTAATTCTGAAGCACACCCTTTGGTGTTTATTTAATCTACTGTACTTGTATATATTTTTTTTTACTAAAAACCACCATATACTTTTAGTTATGTAGCTAATACAGAAATGCTATACTGACATACCTGACTTTAATGATAATCTCAGAATCCCAATCATGAGTAAGTTTTGACAAAAGTCACTAAATAATAACTTCTAAAGCTGGTACTGTGTTGATCTTTAACCTTCAAGTCTCCAACTTCCTAAATTGTACGTACTCCTATTGACTAATGTACAATAGTATCCTCAGTTACTAAGCACACCAGTCTTGACAAGACATCTGCAATCACTATTTTATTAACCCAGCAAAACAAATCAATATAAAAATAGTTAATTATAAAAGCAATTACAGACAAACGTATGGGAAAATAGGGGCATAATATACACAATAATATCTGTATTTTAACAGAGCCCATATTAGGCTCAGCCTCTCAGCCTATTAGAATACTAATGGGCTGAGGAAAGAAAACAGGTCTTGCAAAATGGATAGTCAAGAGCTGTTCATGAAAATTATGGTTGTTTAACAAATCACATTAGAAAAACAAATTAACTCTTTCACTGTTGAGACCTCTGATCCTGAAGTTCCTACCTGTGTCGAAAAACATTAAAAAAAAAAATCTTACCAAAATCTTTAGAATATTTTTGTGAATGTTTTAAAAGGAATTTTTTTTTTGTGATTACTACTTACCGAGATATAGAGGCATGAAGTTGACAAAGTGAACCGCTTGTGGCAACATCGGCGATTGCTGCTCACTTTTCTCTCTTATTTTTTAATATTTTATTTTTTCAAGTAACTTCCATGGCCTGTGAGACCAATATAATATGTAATGCATATGTATCCACTCATTGTATGCAACACAATAACCACACAAACACTGTCATCATTATAGTGTTTACAAAACCTGTTTACACAAGCCAACAATAAAATAAGTTCTTTATTACTATTGTTCTATAATACAGTGGAACCTCTGCTTATAAGTTTAATCTGTTCCATGACTTAGCTCGTAACCCGATCTGCTTGTATGCTGAGCCAATTTTCCTCATATAAATTAACTGAAATGCCATTAATCCGTTTCAGCGGAATTCCTGCTCTTGGGATGCAGGACAGATATACTTCAATATGACGCTATATCAACTCTATGGCTTATTTATCTATCACAATTCATCTAATATGACATAATAAACAATATAATTAACATAGAAACATGATACATACTTTAGAATGAATAAACTAGGCCATAATATGGAGAGTGGTGGCGGCAGTGTCCATTCCCTCTCCTGCTGATTATATCCTCCCATGCTTTTATTATATGAGAAAACAGAGTGTTTGTGAGGCTAATGCACTACTTTCATAAATAAGTAATATTGTATAAAAACATAATACAGAATGTAAAGAAATAAAGTAGTTTTATAAAGTGTACATGGTATAAACCTTGGTAATAAATACCGACAAGTTGGTTTAGAAAGACACGTGAGCAAACACTATGACATATTTATTAGAAAACGTTTCGGTCCTGGGACCTTGATCACTTCTAACATACAGAGGTAGAAAGACATTATATACATAGGCGGAGAGTGAGGTGTGATGCACTTGACCTGAGAAATGTCATAAGAACATAAGAATGGAGGAACACTGTAGAAGGCCTACTGGCCCATGCGAGGCAGGTCCTTATCAAAACAACCTCTACCTATGATGAGGATGGGTAGACGATGAAATCATGTGACTCCTGTGTTGTTGGGTTGGTGGTGCTTAAGTATCATGTATGCCAACAACACAGGAGTCACATGATTTCATCGTCTACCCATCCTCATCATAGGTAGAGGTTGTTTTGATAAGGACCTGCCTCGCATGGGCCAGTAGGCCTTCTACAGTGTTCCTCCATTCTTATGTTCTTATGACATTTCTCAGGTCAAGTGCATCACACCTCACTCTCCGCCTATGTATATAATGTCTTTCTACCTCTGTATGTTAGAAGTGATCAAGGTCCCAGGACCGAAACGTTTTCTAATAAATATGTCATAGTGTTTGCTCACGTGTCTTTCTAAACCATAAAGTGTACATACGCTGGCGGAGGTGGAGGGTGGAAGATAGGCTACTTGCTACTAGCTCCTACTGGCACCGCACACCTTGCTTGTTTATCTATGATTTCATGCTGTAATTCCATGGATATCATCCACTTTTTCTTCTCAGCACTGTCCTTTGCAGTTACTTTCTTAGGACTCATGGTTAGAAAAAAGAAATTTAGCAATAATAACATGAGAAATGCTTCCACGGCGACATAAACACATTGTACAGCTCAGCTGATGTTGTGGCGTTAGCTGTGCCACCTAGTGGCGATGTTCTGAAACTCGCTTATTATTACAGGTCTCCCTACACATTTGCAAGTTCCACTTTCACAGGCTTCAAACATTCATGAATGCCCAGCCGCCTAATTATATTTAAAATATGTCATTAAGTATGTTAGGAATTGTGGCGGTGGCAAAGTTTGTTTGGAGGCAGAACAAGAGAGTCCTTCAACATGACACTAATATCAACTCTACTGCTTGTTTATCTACCACAACTGATCTAATATGACATAATAAACAATATTAATAACAGTAATATCAATATTAATAATAATAACCACTCGTTATTAATATTAATAACAATATTGTTGTTGTTGGGTGTATAAGGGCCGCTGAGAACACAAGTCGAACATAGTGGTGGTGAAGGCCAGTAGAGGCGGCGGTGTTCTCAGTAGCCCTATATACCTCCAACAACACTGGAGGAGTTACGTTTGTGCTGTCCTTTTTCTATCGATTAATCGCTTAACTTACTTGCTACACTGTTAATGCTACACTTTATCGCTGGCTGGGACTATAGCCTTTATCAACTAGTGCTGATTTAGTATCTTACATGTCGTAGAATCACTGAAGAAGGCACATTCTCCCCTCTCTCTTCCTCCTCCATGTTGGTACTCTGCTATGAGTTCTTTCTTGAATTCTATAGTCTTTCTCACCTTCTTTAGCAAAGAGCTGGCACTAGTACAATATTTTTTTATCTTTTCATGTGTTTTATGATTGTTCATGGTTCAATAGGTTAGGGAAGCAGTACTGTTAGGCTAATTAAATGCTATTATTATATTTCCCTACAACATGTTTGTGCACCAAACATTCGCGATTTTTCAACATTCACGAGGTTCTTGATCCCCTAACCCTCACGAATGTGGAGGGAGACCTACATTATTATTTTTATTATTGTTAATTTAGGGTACAGGAGCACAGATTCAATTCCCTAGATCAAGAGCCCCTCACCTGCATCAAGGAATCTCCCTTGAGGGAGAAGCTCACAACCTGAATTTTGGCTCGTATCCAGGAGCAAAGTCGACCGAGTGATGGCTCGTATCCTGAAAAACTTGCATGGTGGGGCACTCATAAGCAGAGGCTCCACTGTATATATACACATACAGAGTCACTGGACATGTTCCTGGAACTGCTACAGCTTGTGGAAGGTTGTGTGTGTGTGAATGGTTGAAGGTAGCTTTTGTTGTTGTTGTGCTGAGAGCAGCGTGGCTGGTATCAAGTGACACATTACAAAACCACAACCACAACCACCACCACCACCCATTATTTATACAGTGGACCCCCGCATAACGATCACCTCCGAATGCGACCAATTATGTAAGTGTATTTATGTAAGTGTGTTTGTACGTGTATGTTTGGGGGTCTGAAATGGACTAATCTACTTCACAATATTCCTTATGGGAACAAATTCGGTCAGTACTGGCACCTGAACATACTTCTGGAGTGAAAAAATATCGTTAACCGGGGGTCCACTGTACTGTCTTCTCCAACAAGCATGCTGTCTTCCCCACATCCCATATGGAAATAAATCACTTTGACTTTTTTGGGTTATCCTAGGTTGATGGTTGTCTGGGTTTTCAGCACTATTTCTGGTATCTTGGGCATTGCTTTTGGTCACAAACTCCTCAAAACCATGAAATACATCTTCACTGACACTTTCATCTGTGTTAGAACTATCACTTGGGAAGAGAACAGTCCCAATTTGCTGGGGAGTGAGTGTGAGGGAAAAGTTCAACAGATAGGAGTAGCAAGTATATGGTAATGATAGTTTGATTGCCGGGTGCTTGTTAACCCCTTGACTGTCGCAACCCCCAATCCTGAAGTGTCTCCTGGTGTCGCAAAATTTAAAAAAAAAAAAAAAATTCTTATGAAATGATAGAGAATCATTTCCCGATTGTAATGACACCAAAAACGCGAAATTTGAGGGAAAACTGATGGAATTACGCTCTCGCGAAGTTAGTGACCTAGGCGATATTTACAAATCGGCGATTTCGCCCACTTAGAGCCCTATTTTCGGCTAATTCCATTGTTCCAGTCAACCAAATTCATAGCTCTTTCTTTAGAACTCCATTTTTTCTATCGATTGAGTACAAGAAACTGCCCATTTACTGATTTCAACCACCCAATAACGTGGTCAGAAATTTGCAATTTGGCCAATTTCACGAAAATTAAAAAAATGACAATTTCAAAATAAGGTCCAGAATGAACAATGCAGACATTCCTGACTCTAAAATAACATTTTCTTTGTCCATCAGTCATGTCTCCAAGCCACTTTGATATTACTCTTGCTTTCTATTTTGAATTTTTATTCAGACATAAGGGGGATTACCAACAGACCCCTGGCAGTCTTCAAGCTGGCACTGGACAAGCACCTAAAGTCAGTTCCTGATCAGCCGGGCTGTGGCTCGTACGTTGGTTTGCGTGCAGCCAGCAGCAACAGCCTGGTTGATCAGGCTCTGATCCACCAGGAGGCCTGGTCACAGACCGGGCCGCGGGGGCGTTGACCCCCGGAACTCTCTCCAGGTAAACAAAAAATAGAAGATTTACTGTTATGCAGACTACTGCAATACTGTAATAATTATATAAATAACATAAACCCATTCATGACTGCATATTAGAATGGCTAGTTGGACATTTATTGGACAAGGACATCATTTGTTTACTTTTGAACATCGGCAAAAATCAAACATTTCCCCTACTTTGAGCTCCATTTCCAGGTTCTTGTTATAGTAAAATCAATCAAAATCACCTCTATTTCTATAATATGTTTTCCATTCTATCAAATGAGACCAAGAAAACGAGAATAAAGCCATAAATACTATACGAAAATAGACCACAAAGTCGGCATTTTAATTAAAAAAAAACGGTCGGAGTTTTTTTTCTCATTATGCACTGCGTGCTCCAGGATTTTTTTTATATGGTGCACACTGACCACACAGACCCATTCTCTCACATGTGGGCCTCCCAGCTTTCTCCTGCTTGATTTGAAGCCGCTAGAATTTATGAGTATATATACGTCAAACACGGTACCTCGTAAGACGTATATATACGACCTCGACAGTCAAAGGGTTAAGGTATGGTCAGTCTAGTTCCCGCTATCCCCCCCTTTCTCCCCACCCCGAAAGGTGACGTGTGGGGCTCCGGCCAAACAGTAATCACTCGACTCACAGCTCCCAGCATAACTGTAAGTAAAAGCCTCTGCTCCTATTCTAGTGGATATTGGTTGAAAGCTTCACTTTTGACCCATAATGAACTTAGTCCTTTCAGTTTTAAGCTCTACATGAGACTTTTAGATAATCACTACCTTTTTTAAGTATCTTGCACTTATCATGGAGAGTGATTTCTTAAGCAGTGGGTAACCTGTCTCTCTTTCCAGCTTGGAATGACAGATCGGGTCACCTGCCAACCAACGAGAAGTGTTGAAGGAGACGGACTGAAACCGGTCTTGGGGACGTCACTTCATGATCTACCTACCTGATCAATTGTACAGGACACTACCCCTCATCTTTGCATTGGTAAAGAACCTGCATTCCTGTCATCTGGACTGACTATTCAAGGCTATAGACTCTGTAAAGAACTAGTCGTTGGGTTGTCACTCAACACCTGTGCCCCCCCCCCATCATCAGCAACGGCTACAATTTCTACAAGACGGTGTCAACCTCAACCAGACACCCCAGTATAACTGTACATATTAGCGTTGAATTCAAATGTCATTTTTTCCATTTCATTTTTCATTTTTAGTAGGATACACCTTCATATTTCAATGTTTTATCTTTGCATTAATAAATAATAAAGTGTTTATCTTTGTGAATTATTATTTCTTTTTCTATTCATTAATTTTCCTGAGGACGAGCCAGCCTTGGTAATACTGTCTCAAGTTGTTACAGGGCTGAGTAAGCCTTCACAGTGAGGTATATATTACCACAAAGCATGGTAAACAAGGTCTACTGAAATAGGACTCCCACAATGCACCATTGGCTCCCTGATTTTTTTTTTATACTACACGCACTAACCACACAGACCCATTCTCTCACATGTAGGTGTACCAACTTGCTCTCCCAGATATGAAGCCGCTAGAATTTTGGCGTATAAATGTCACCAACACTGGCTCATGAGATGTATCTATATGGCACCAACATTGAAAGGGTTAATAATTATGACAATTAATTAACAATTTTGTAAAGCTCTTCAGAGCAAAACAAAAATATACTTATAATATTTCTTTAAGTTGTAATATATACTTACCAGCACATAAGAATAAACTAAATAAACAAAATAACTCAGAAATAAAATAGGTAACATACCTTCATGAGACTGCTAGTTCTCTGTTCCTCAATCTCCGGAGGAACAGGTTCAGCAGGTCTACTGGGTCGCTTCTCAAGGAATGGATTTGTTCTCTTCTCTCTGTGCAGTGATGGAAGGGAGTGCTGGTTTTTCCTTCGTCTATAATCCGTCATTAAACAAGCAATGTCTTTTTCAGTTGCCACACGATAAATGCTCTGCTGGGCTCCTGGGAATTTGGAAAAAATACAAAACCCCTAACAAAACATCCTTCTTTATTTATGCCACTGAAGGGTGAAAGATGGAAGAAGCCAAAGATATTAGTACAGTGATTTCTTTAACCCTTTGAGGTTTTGTAATTTAGTAAAAAAAATAAAAAAAAAAACTTCTTAATTATGACGTACTATTCTTAAATTTAGCGGCCAATAATATAGATAGAGAAGCTGAGGCCTTCATATGAAAGAATGGTTATGCAGTGTGCACAGTCAAAAAAATCCTGCACACACAGTCTAATGGAAAAAAAAAACTTTACGGTTTTTTTTAAAGTTTGGATTTTGTGATTTACTTTTAAAATTCTAATTCAGAGTTTTCTTGGTCTCATTTTAGATGGAAGCATATTACAGAAATTGAGATGATTTTGGATGGGTTTTACAAAGAAGGTGCTTGAAATTGGCTCAAAGTAGCAGAAATGTTCGATTTTTACCAAACTTCAAAAGTAAACAAATCGTGCCAAGCGTGCAATACACGTCAACTGGTGAGTCTAATATTCTTTCACAAGTGCACCAATAATATTTATACCATTTTTTACACTAATGCAGTAGTCTGCATAATAGTAAATCTTATATTTTTTGTGAAAATAAGAATTCAAAGTGGAAAGCAAAAGAATATAAGAGGGGACTTGAGACATGACTAATGACTAGAGGAAATGCTATTTTAGTGCCAGGAATGTCTTTCTTGTTTATTCTGGACCCTATTCCGAAACTGGCATCATTTGAAATTTGTGTGAAATTGGCAAAATTGCTAAATTCTGACCACTGTACTGGATAGTTGAATTTATAAATGGGTGGTTTCTTGCATCCATTCGATAGAAAAAATGTAGTTCTAGCGAAATATTCATGTTTTTCGTCGACTAGTACAGTGAAATTGGCCGAAAATGGGGCTCAAAGTGGGCAAAATCGCCGATGCGTAAACATCGCCGAGACCGCTAACTTTGCGAGAGCATAATTCCGTAAGTTTTCTATCAAATTTCAAACTTTTGGTGTCTTTATGATCGGGAAAAGATTCTCTATCTTTTCATAAGAGAAAATAATTTTTTTTTTTTTTTAAATTTGGCCGACCCTGAGAACGAGTTTCGGAGAGAGCCTGTCGACCCTCAAAGGGTTAATAACCATTTGTATACTGTAATTTTGAAAAAAAAAAAAAAAAAAAAGACTTCCTTAATTAATGACTTCTTTCTTGCACAATGACCAGAAAATATATATAAATACAATATATTGTACATCATGGACTAAACCAGCTGTTTCCTGCAACAAGTCAACCCAGAGTGCGCATGTCCTCAAATCAATTCTTTAAGGGTTACAATGTGGGGTTTACAGGTTTTGGGTATTGTGTGGTTTACATGTTATAAAATACTAATTACAGAGGGGGCCACTAGGACACCTAGCATGGCTAGGCATTTCGAGCAGACTTGGATTAATTCTGGATGGGATTTAGTGATTATTCTTACTGCGGCTTTTTGTTGGGTTAATATTGGCTTTAGGTGTGTTGCTGCAGTTGAACCCCAAGCACAGATAGCATAGGTGAGGTATGGATATATAAGTGAATGGTATAGTGTGAGAAGGGCAGTTTGCGGCATGTAGTATCGTATCTTGGAGAGGATCCCCACCGTTTTGGATACTTTTTCTGTTATGTATTGGATATGGGTGCTGAAATTTAGGTTGTTGTCGAGGTATAGGCCAAGGAATTTGCCCTCATTATGTCTGGCAGTTAGAGTGTTGTCGATCTTAATGTTAAGTTGCACAACACCTGCTCTGCTACCAACTTGTGACCCTATCAAACTTTGTTACTATTTAACTTCATTACCTAACAGAATACTCCATTCTACTGATTACACAGCAACACAGTAAATGACCATATGACCTGTCTTTGTAATGTACTCATTTGTACTAAATTGTTATCTGTTTTACAATATTTTTTGTACCACTGAATATAACATTGCTTAGTTAATCTTAAGTTAATTTTAAGCCTGCCCAAAATGCTCTGCATACAAAGGGCTTTGGCATGCTGCACTTCAAAAATTTTATTCCTTGTACTTCTCTGTATCATGTTCAAATTAATAAATAAATAAATAAATAAATAAATAAACATAATATAGTAGGTTTTGCCAGTGTTAAGTTTAAGTTTATTGGCTGTCATCCAAGTCGATATTTTGAGCAGCTCCTCGTTAACAATGGTGTTGAGGGTGGCAAGATTAGGGTGGGAGATGACATAAGTCGTGTCGTCAGCAAAGAGACTGGGTTTCAGGTGTTGGGATATGTTTGGAAGATCATTGATGTAAATGAGGAAGAGCAGGGGTCCAAGGGCACTTCCCTGCGGAACTCCAGTATCAAGTGGCCGTATTGATGAGGCTGTGTCTTTAATGGTGACATACTGATACCTATTAGAAAGGTAGGATTTAAAATATGCAAGTGCATGGCCTCTTATACCATAGTGGTCAAGTTTGTGGAGTAGGATGCCGTGGTCTACTGTGTCAAACGCTTTTCTTAGGTCAATAAAAATTCCTAAAAGATATTCCTTATTTTCCAATGCTGTGTAAAGCAGATCTAGCATTTTTATAATTGCATCATTAGTGCTTTTATTTTTCCTGAATCCAAATTGGCATGGGTTGAGTATGTTTTGTGACATTATAAATGAATACAGGTCCGCCATCACAAATCTGGCAATCAGTTATTTGGTTCCTTCAGTTATTCGGCACTAATTTTGACTAGCATAATTTCAAATTTCCAGGGTCGCCACACCAACCTGCTGGTACAGTTTGGTGGTGCTACTTGCTGCATAAGTCATTCCAATTTCTTTTTCTCCATTTATTGTTTTAACCTGCTTACTTTTAGCCCTAGCCATGGTTCCAATGAATAAAAGAAATGCTTCTCATTATGTAAAGCACCTACACAGTACAGTGGACCCCTGGATCGTGATACTAATCCGTTCCTGAGAGCTCATCATAAACCAAAAATGTCGGAAAGCGAATCAATTTTCCCCATAAGAAATAATGGAAATCAAATTAATCCGTGCAAGACATCCAAAAGTATGAAAAAAACTTTTACCACATGAAATATTAAGTTTAATGCAATAGAATAGTAATTACAATAACAACAATAACAAAAAATAATGAAAGAATAATTGACACTTACCTTTAATGAAGATCTGGTGATGATTGATGGGATGGGAGGAGGGGAAAGTGTGGATGGTGTTACCATTTAGAAGGGGAATCCCCCTCCATTAGGACTTGAGGTAGCAAGTCCTTTTCCGGGGCTACTTCCCTTCTTCTTTTAATGCCACTAGGACCAGGTTGAGAGTCACTGGACCTCTGTCGCACAACATATCTGTCCATAGAGGCCTGTACCTCTCGTTCCTTTATGACTTTCCTAAAGTGGTTCACAACATTGTCAGTGTAATAGTCACCAGCACGGTTTGTAATAGCTGTCTGAGGGTGATTTTCATCCATGAAGGTTTGCACTTCAAGCCACTTTGCACAGATTTCCTTAATCTTTGAAGTAGGCAACTTCTTCAATTTCTCTCTCCCCTCCTCCGAAGCAATTTCCTCAGGTGTGGCCTCTTGCTGTTGAAGTTGATCTAGCAGCTCATCAGTGGTTAGTTCTTCATTGTCCTCCTCCACCAACTCTTCCACATCCTCCCCACTAACCTCCAACCCCAAGGACTTCCCCAATGCCACAATGGATTCCTCAACTGGCATAGGCTTCTCAGGGTTAGCCTCAAACCCTTCAAAATCCCTTTTGTCTACACATTCTGGCCACAGTCTTTTCCAGGCAGAGTTCAAGGTCCTCTTAGTCACTCCCTCCCCAGTCTTACCTATAAGTTTTACACAATTGAGGATAGTAAAGTGATCCTTCCAAAACTCCTTTAGAGTCAATTGAGTTTCTGTGGTCACTTCAAAGCACCTTTCAAAAATAGCTTTTGTGTACAGTTTCTTGAAGTTGGAAATGACCTGCTGGTCCATGGGCTGCAGGAGAGGAGTGGTATTAGGAGGCAAAAACTTGACCTTAATGAAACTCATGTCCCCACAAAGTCGCTCTGACAAGTCTGTAGGATGACCAGGGGCATTGTCTAATAGCAGGAGGCACTTAAGGTCTAATTCCTTTTCAATTAGGTAATCTTTCACACTGGGGGCAAATGCATGGTGTAACCAGTCATAGAAAAAGTCCCTAGTGACCCATGCCTTACTGTTTGCCCTCCACAGCACACACAAATTAGCCTTGAGGGCATTCTTTTGCCTGAATGCTCTGGGAGTTTCTGAGTGATACACCAATAAAGGCTTCACTCTGCAATCATCACTAGCATTGGAACACATCAACAGAGTAAGCCTATCTTTCATAGGCTTATGTCCTGGGAGTGCCTTTTCCTCCTGAGTAATGTAGGTCCTGCTTGGTAATTTCTTCCAAAACAGGCCTGTTTCGTCACAATTAAACACTTGTTCAGGTTTCAATCCTTCAGCCTCTATGTACTCCTTGAATTCATGCACATATTTTTCAGCTGCTTTGTGGTCTGAACTGGCAGCCTCACCATGCCTAATCACACTATGTATACCACTACGATTCTTAAACCTTTCAAACCAACCTTTGCTGGCCTTAAATTCACTCATATCACCACTAGTTGCAGGCAATTTTTTTACCAAATCGTCATGCACCTGCCTAGCCTTTTCACAAATGATTGCTTGAGAGATGCTATCTCCTGCTATCTGTTTTTCATTTATCCACACCAATAACAGTCTCTCAACACTTTCTAACACTTGCGGTCGCTGTTTCGTAATCACAGTTACACCTGTTGCAAGAACAGCTTCCTTGATTGCCGTTTTCTTGCTCACTATAGTAGAGATGGTTGATTGGGGTTTACTATACAACCTGACCAGCTCCGACACACACACTCCACTTTCGTACTTGGCAATTATCTCTTTCTTCATTTCAACAGTCATTAGCACCCTTGGTCTCGAAG